AAACATTCCAAGGGAATAACGGAAGGTAGGGAAGCGGACTGCAACCAAAGTGCGGGGAGACCTGATTGCGGCCTTTCAGTACTTAAAGGGGGCCTACAGGAAAGATGGGGAAAATCTTTTTAGTAGGGCCAGCTGTGACAGGACAAGGGGTAATGGCTTTAAACTAAACCAGGGTAGGTTTAGACTGGATATAAGGAAGAAATTCTTTACAATGAGGGTGGTGAAACACTGGAACAGGTTGCCCAGAGAGGTGGTGGAGGTCCCATCCCTGGAAGCATTCAAGGCCAGGTTGGACGGGGCTCTGAGCAACCTGATCTAGTTAGCGGTGTCCCTGCTCCTGCAGGGGGGTTGGACTGGATGACCCCTAGGGGTCCCTTCCAACCCCAAACATTCTACGATTCTATGATTCAAAAGCAGGCTGAAATATAACATGGCTTTCCCGAAGTTACCTTGTCTCGGGCAGAATAACTGTCACCATATAGCTAAAATTTCCAGGCTTCGCTAAGGAGTTTGCTACGGTGCCGCACCGGCAACAGCCAAACTAGGAGTTAATACAAAAACGGGAAGGATGCGCTCGCAAGGACACGGAACAAGTGTTGGAACAGCGTGCTACCGAAACCCACGGCTGATGGACTGTGGGAGGCACGGGAGGCATGGAGGAGGACAGAACTATTGGACAGGAAGCAGTGCATAACTTGGAGATACAGAGTAATAAAAATCAGCTGGCGTTTAATAGCATGCGGTGCAACATCATGCACTGCGGGGATAAAAGCTACGTTTTCTGCTGTAAACCCTCAATGTGTCAGCAAAAGAGGAGAGAAAGGACCTGGGGTATTTGCCTTTTGTAGAATAATCAGGACTCAGTAGAGGGGGACAAAAAGCAAAACTTATCCTTGGGCAGGCCAGTTGACGTATTTCTAGTAGAGCTAAAAAAGTATTTACAAAGCATTGGGGAAAAAAAACCCCAACACATCACAGTCAAGAAAGATGAATTAAAACCATGCACGCACAGAGAAGAGCTGACCTTGTAAAAGGAAACTGAAAAGCTCCTCTTTGCTGAGCAAACACAGACTTACCTTGTTTCACCAACAAAGCCAAAACTGAGCAGGAATATGGGTGGGTTGCTGTATTTATGTACTTATTTTTCTCCAATAGTGCACCATTGAGATAAATAGCAGGAAACAAAAGAACTGTTTAAATTAAAGGGTAACATTGACACAACAATCAGATTCAAGGCAAGTTAGCATCTTTTTGTCTGATGAGATAATCATGAATTCAGAGCATCACAGGAGGGAGGGAGGGGAGTAAGATTAACTCGCTTCAAGACGGAGCTAGAAAAGAAAATATGAAATACGATTGCCTGCAGTGGTATGGAGTTGGACGTAAGGATCTGGATTTCTCTCAACAACTTTTCCATGCATTTCTAAGACAAGAAAGACAAATAGGGAACACAAAAAAAAGTAGTAGCAGAAGTGACGGAGGCATAACCACCAGTGAGGAAATGTCTCACTTGGAGGTTAAAATAGTTAATGGTCTCCCCTCTTAAGAATATTTCTTCAGCAATATTTCTATCTCAAATATTATTGTTTTATGGCAATAACTGATTATTTTGGACAGGATATTTTCTGTTGCCCCATGGGTAAAGAGCAATTAAATTACACATTGAAAAATATTTTCTATTTGTAATACTCACTACATACCAGTAAAGGCAGAGGTAAACTGCAGCACATACTGCTATTACAGATGTTAAAGTCTTCAAAAAAGGTTCACACTTTACATTATTTATTTACAAGTTCGTGTTTCACACAAATGTTTCTAAATGCGAAGAGGTGTCTCAACTCAGTCTTAAAGATTGGGTGCCTGAGGTGTTTCCTGCCTCCTCTGATCTACAGACCTCGAGTATTTGCCAGTGGAAGTGCAGCACACTCTGCAGCGCATTCCAGCTTCCTGACAATACACTTGTTCTT